GACAGAAGCTTATGAGCTCAAGGTCGCTTCACGACTTTCTTATCACTGCGACGAAGCAAAGGAAAAAAAAACTCGAACTGGTTCCCCGAGTTCGCCATCAAATTTCTTTTAACGTTTCAATTGGATTTTTGCTTGTCATAGAATTACTGACCCGCTAATGGTGATCCAGGCAGCGATTCCCTCGGAATCACAAGGACTCATTGCTGGAGTCGGCGCTATAGGTATGGCTGAAAGCATGGCAAATCGATTCCGGATGGCAGTTATCGACTGATCGTAGAGGAATCGATACCTGAGGGGAACTCTGGTAGACGATAGAGAAGAGGGTCTACGTTGTGGGCTGCATCCTGTGTGACGGTGGCCATCGTCTGCTGCTGGGTTACGCGGTGGCTCGTCTGTGAGAACGCTGGAGAAGACGACGACCGCGTCTAGACATGCGTGTGAGGGCGAACGTTGCCTGAAGAGACGCAGTCGGTGACGGTCCGTAGAGAGGTGTGCGTGCTGGGGGAGTACGCGAGAGTGTTGCGTGTCAGTCGATAGCCGCCGACTGGATGCTTGTCTGCCCACACGCATGCACACACACTCGGACACTCCCCGAGGTGATCACTCTTCGCCACAACGTCGCGCTCAATGTGGCTGACGTCTGGCGTCAACACGTCGCCGGGAACGGCGAGTGCGCCTAGCAACTCGTTCATGCGGAAGTTTATGACCGTTCTTTTAGCACACCTTTCGAACTTTAACAGCTTACATCATAACACAAGAATTCACCGACTCACATGAGCAGAAAAAGTGCAATCAAGTCGCTTTCTAAATATTAGTTGTCTGCGTTCTTTGGAGTTAGCTAATCTGATAATCTCCTGAACGCAATAGTTAGTGAGTGCACAAAATTACTAGTACGTTTATTTTCAAATTTGCCATTACTTTCACTCGGAACATGTACACGCTAGGGCAGCGCAAGCAACTCTTACGATTATGCTCTGCACTTCCTCGACAATGCGGACATGGGGGTATACCCATATCGCTGATCTTTTGACTTTACGTGACATTGACAATGATAGAAGTGATCTGCACCTGGTTTCGAATTTGAGCTCAAATGGCGCATACGCCTTTACGCTTTTTTCCCTAAGATCATGCTGAATTGTTAGTTCAGACACTGATTACGACTTTAAGCGTATAATCGACAGATCCCTAATGTTCATGTAGATTTGGAGGTTGCGCGCCTTCCGTGTAGATAGGCGTTAAGCTAAGACCATAACTTTGTCTGAAAGGGACCAACTTATAGGAGATACGACTTGTCATATTCGACATGTCATTTCAGTTTATTTCAAAGCTGACAGTACAGCAAAACAAAATTGACCCAAATTTGTTCCGCTGCGAAATTTCCTGCGACGCCGCGCAACGTGCGGTCAACGCAACAACTGTTCTTACGTGTTCGTTGTTGTCCGTTGCGTCGAGGCGCCTTAACAAAACAGTCGGCTGCTGTCGCTGCTGCGGTGCTTCAACCACGGAACAAAAGACAAAACGAACAGGATAAATCGATTATTGCGTTGCCTGCAGCGAGTTGCGCGACTTGTGGGGAAGTCCTCAGCCGCCGACATTTGGGTCAACAGTGCTTGGTTCATGTGTATAGTGTGTGGAATGGACAAAGAAGAAATCAAGAAATTTTTCTTTTCTCTGCAGAAGTTGCGTTGCAACCATGACTCACTACTGCTGGGCTTAAGAACAGCGCCGAAATGCAAAGATGCATCTTACGTAAAATTTCTTATACGCTATCAACTGAATGTAATTTTGCAACTGATCTTGAGCTTTACTTACTCCCATAAACCCACCAGCCATGGTAAAAATATGATCTCATTATCGA